GCTCGATAATACTCACTCGAAAGTAACCAGTGAATAGTGATCTGAATAGTAATCCATATAGTGATCAGTATAGAGAAATAGTATAGTGGATAGAGTAGAGAATAGCGATCCTTATAGTAATAGAGGATAAAACAGAAATGGTGATCAACTAGATGCCACACTAATTTTCATATATTTCCCTTGCAATTATGTGATCTACTTATTCAAAATGGGATCGCCTGTGCTTGTTCTTGGGTGTTCTAATTCCAGCAACACTTTATTCCTATATAACAGTATTGATATATTTTTTTTCATATTTTCTTTTCAGAACATTACATGTTAACTCATTTATAAAATCACTTTAGATTTTAGACTGAACCAAAAATATTTGGTTATTCTGTTACATTTTGGAATAAGAATGAATCAATCCAGAACTTCTTGGCAGCGTTTATTTTGTGAAATCATTGACAACAACCAGAGTTAGAATTTTACCCATTCCTGAAATAAATGTGGACTGTTATAAGGGAGAAAATTAATTTCTATTTACTAATGAGAATTTTAGCCACATAAATACATAAATATTTTATATGTACAAGTTGATTTTATGCAACAGTATTCTCACCTTAGATATGAAATCTGACAAGTCCTGGCTGCTTGCTGTACATTTTATAGGCAGTAGATATACATATACAAGGTGTTGGTGAAAAGTTATGGCTTCTATACATTTTCCAACATCTGACTAAATAACCAAACACCAGAAGTTTGGGGTGGGGAGGGAATCTAGATCAGTCTGAGAACTTTTCAGCATCCACCTCATATATCAAAATAATTGAGTAATTAATAAGTAATTAACTAAATAATTAACTAAATAATTAAGACAGAGAAAAAAACTTAATTTTCAATATAATTACATCGAATACTTTTAATTTATAAAACAAAAAGATTCTTCAAAATGAAAATCTAACAATCCTGAGCAATATTATATAACCTTGCTAGTTGATAAATAAAAAATAAAACCAATGACCAGATAATAAAACTCATAAGAATAGTTAATAAAAAGAGTAGTTGCTTGCTCTTGTGGATGGGAGTGTCATTTTTCATCTTCTGCTTCAGTGAACACAGAAAAAGCAAACACAAAAATGTGAGAAGAGGGAGTTACCTGATTTAACTACAATGAGAGGAAGAATTTAACAACATTCTTACTTCTATAAGTCATAAATCAAGTTTAAGAAAAAAAAATAGTGTTTTGTAGCTGAAAACCTGCTCTACCCAACAATGTTATTGTGTTTCCTGTTCCTGTTTTAACTTACATGGAAATAAACAGGAAGTGCTACTTTTGGAGCATCCTTTATCAAAAGTTTTGTAAAGGCTGCAGCAATGGTGACTTTAGTATATTGCAATCTTGAAAAAAGAAAGCAGAGAAGGCACATAAAAAAAAAGCTATAAATTTTTATGTAATTTAGTTAACTGACTTCTGTGAACTTAAATATCTTAAAATATATTTTGCAAAATTCTAAGAAAAACTCATTTGCAACATGATATAATTTAAAGAGTGTCTTTTTATTATTTCATTTGCATATCATTGACTGATGTTAATCCATCATGGGATTTGAATATATGATTGATCAAAGTATCTCTGAAAGATACTATTTCAGCTAATCAATATTTTGTTAACAAATAATTAAGGATAATATAAATAAATATTGACCCGATAAATGATTTTTTACTACTCATATTACTTCAATACTGATTTTATATTATATACGATGTTTTTATTTTATTATATACAAGTCATTTATATAAACCAAGATATCATAGAATTTATTACTATTTTTGCTGCTACATTGTTATAACATTGTTGCCTGGGTGTGCAGGCCCATTTCAGGAAAACTAGGAAGTTGTCATTTACTGGAAATAAATGATTATAAAGACACTGTTGGGATTGCTTATACATGATGCCATTTTGGTCTTCATCAGACATCAGCAGTAGAGGCTAAACTAAACAACACAATAATACATCACAAAACAACTCATTAAATGTTACTATATGTCTACACTGATTTGGAAGTACCACTAAGTACTAGTTAGTTTGTAACTAGGACCAACATTTCATGGTCTCTTGAAAATGTTTGTGTGTTGACAGCAGGCAATGTAAGTTTTTATAAAGACATAAGTATGTCCATGATAGTGTAAATGTTAAACAAACACATAAAACATTGCATTCAATCTTTAAATATATTATTGCAGCCAATTGTAGAGCTAAAAAGCAAAAATGTTCAAAAAATAGTATCAACTGTATTTGAATATATATATATATATATATATATATATATATAGATATATTATAAATTAATTGATTTAAAATATGTTTTTTTTCCGCTACACAGTTCTAACCATGTTTCAAAAATGGAAGCTAAAAGCCACAAATTTAATTTTGCAATTAAATTAAAGACATTAGTTCCATTTCATCCTCAAGCGAATTTTGGAGTAACTTTTAAAATTACTGGGTTTTAAAGACACAGCTAAAATCACGTTTCCATGGTTGCAGATAAATCTACTTCAATTGGACAAGGGTTGTCTGGGTTTTCCTTATGTCTATATCATTATAAGTGGAAAAACTTTACTTGTGATACTTTTTTGTCCTTCAGGACTTCATCGGACTAAATTTGTTATGTTGGTATGACTACACATGTACACAACAGAAGGGTGCTGGAAATTTTAGAATTTTTTTATATCAGCCAAATTCATTTAGAACCTTTTTCTTTCCATCACCTTTGTTAGTAAATATCCCACACTGTGATATTAGAAGATCTGCCAGGAATGGTGAAATGTTGTAAAGTGCCAAGGTGCAAATTTAATGCGGATGCTTCTTTAGACACTTATGTTGCAGTGAATTATATTCTTTTTGATCAGAGTAGCATTTTTATGTGAAAATTGTGGTCAGTCTCATTACAGTGGGCAACCAATACATTTGACATATTATTTTGTAAAATATCCCTTTTGTGTTTATATAATCTTTTATTTAGATTCCATGAGGTTTCTCCTATGTATTTTTGTGACAAGTATTACAGATAATGGTGTAAACTCCTTCAGGTTTTAGCTTATTGTTTTATTTAGTATTGACTCAGTCTTTTATGTTTTGGATGTAGTAGTAACACATTTTATGTTGAGTTTAGATAGATTCTTTTAGATTGTAGATGTGATAGAGTTAGTTGGTAGGATAATATACTTTTTTGATTCATTGGGTTTTTCAGGAGGGGCCGTTTTTTTGTTTTGGAATATATTTATGGGCCTTTGGTTTTGCATTGAATATAAAATAATTTGGGTACTGGAGAAGTTTGAAAGTATTTTCAATGTATTTCTCCTTTTCGTGTAAATAATCCGAGCTGCATATTATTAGTGCTCTTAGGTAGAATCCAATGATTAAGCTGGACTTTATTTTTATGATGAGAACAGAAATTTATTAGGTCATTTTTGTTGGTTGATTTCTGGTGGACACTGAGTTTTAAACTCTTGTTACTGTGGTATAGATTGATATCTAGGAAAGGTAAGAAATTGCATTCTTCCATTTCATAAGTAAATTCTATTGTGTGTTCAACTTTGTTTAGGTGATCTACAAGTGATTGAGCCATAGACAAGAATGGTGTCCCCAACAGTACAGAAGAAGTAAACTTAAAAATATTATACACACACACACATATATATATATATATATATATATATATATATATATATACGCATTACAGTTCAAGAGTTTGTGGACACCCCTGGTAATTTTTTAAACTGGCCTGAAAAGTAGTTGTTTTAAACTTTAAATAAGAGAAAATTATAAAACATGGTTAAAAAAAAAAGTGAGACATGATTGTTTTATTAGAAATTTTATTATGACCAAAAGAAAAAAAAAGAAGCATTTTATGATTAAATTTTGCTCTCATCAAAATATCCGCCTTTAGCCTTTGCAGCACAATTTTTTGGCATTTGTTGCAAAAGTTTCTTAAAGTATAAATTTAATAGTTATAATTATACATGACCTACCCTTATATTGAGGCCTTTTACTCATAAATATAGCATGCCTTAAAACTATACTTTTTGCCATGAAGGACTCTCCCATTATTTTTTGACATATGAAGGCCAGTAGATTACTTCTTAAAACCTAAGAGCCAGAATACCTGCACATATGATTTGATTATAATCATGAAGGTATGTGCATAATTGACCACACTTTTTGGAAGAGCCAAATACAGAGAACTGTATATAAGTATATGTATTTCTTGAAGCTAAATATCATCCTCAAAATGGATTATTTCTTTCTAGCGATGATTTATGATTTGCTGTGCAACATTTAGAGTTGTTTATATTCTGCACTTTGCTCTCATTTGCGTATTTTTGTATATTTTCTTTCTTGTGACCCATTTTATTTATCTTGCGACCCACTGAAGTGTCAGGACCCACAGTTTGAAAAACCCCAACAGTCAGATTGGATATTGTGAATTTAATGTTGAAATTTAATTTAATAACAAAACTCAAAGAGAAAAAATTTCAACTTTTACATAATACATGATTTAATTATAAACAAAAAAATTTAAAATTTTATCTAATGCATCAATTTTATACCATTATTAGAATTATTTTAAACAATTTACATCATTATAAAAATGTTTTTAAAAGAGGAAAGAAAATACAATTTTTAAATTTAGTTCACCAAAATATTTGTTGAGAATTGAATGTGAAAACAATCTTTGAAACTGAGTACAGATTTAAATAAGTGGACTATTTTATTACTAAAAATGATATATTACCAAATGTGCTAAAAAGTTACCTTTTGCAGTGTCAATTTTTTTTTTTTTTTTTTTTTTTTAGAAACAGAAGTAAGTAAACTGGTTTTGTTGAAGAAATGATCTCATTGATACTATTGGACTGGTGATCACTTTTGTGTAGTCAAAAAGATTGTTTCAGAATTTAGTAAGTTTCACTTTGAAAAAATTTTTTTTATGTAAACAGACATTTCTTGTTTTACTTACCAGGTACATGAAACATTGAAGCGTATAAACTGGAGGCACCGTCAACTTTGATGGTCTCACCTGTGATAAATGCTGCTGCAGGTGACAACAAGAAACAAACAGCAGCTGACACCTGACATGAAAATAGATCACAAATTAAGATAACTGATGTAAACTGACATACACTTTCATTTTATATATATATATGAGTCTGCAATAAAAAATATATATATATATATATATATATATATATATATATATATATATATATATTATGGACTCTCCAGTCATTGATCGATGTAGGCTATTGACCCCGTGCTGACCTGGGACCCTTTTATGATGTATGATTCCAAAGAACCAAGAGCCAGACAACCTGCACACATGATTATAGTGGTGAAGGTTTTGTACAGAACCAACCCCACTTTTTGAAGAGCTGAATACATAGACCTGGTTCACTGTGTGCTACAATGTCCTCAAATGACTCTCTGCAGATTTTGAATTCAGAGTTGTCCTTCTCCAAGACCAATTGCCGTCTAAGGCTATAGAATCCAGTCTGTTCTGCTATTTACCCATAGCTGGGGGGATAATGTCATTTAATGACTTCAGCTATTGAGAAAGTTAAGAAGTGAAGGAGTTTAAATAGTAAGTGAATAAAAATACAGAAGATTAGCTGACCAGACTGGAACCTGATGGAAGAAGGTTTGTTTTTGAAATATTAACCTACAAAATGCTTTTGAGGATGGCATCAGTAGGATTTGAACCCAAAGTTGACATAGTAAGATTTAGTAACTTCAGTACAACTGAATTTTCCCTACTTCACTTCGTTTGGGAACTGTCTATTTAACAGGCTAACCTCTCAAATTACACTGGTTCTTACCAAATCTGGTCAAAAGTACTTTTGGAAAGGCCATGTGGTATCTTAACAAGAGAGTCTTTCTGGCAAAATAACACCCATCAATATCATTCCCCCGAACAAATGTCTATATCATTTTCATTCATAAGTGGAGGAGATCAGAATGCTTGACTGTTAAATAATATATAAAGTCTCTGTCTATATTTCTGAGATGAGGTATTATATACACTATTTATTGAACCCTTTATTTCGCTCACTGGGGTAGACTGTTCTAGTTCCACATGCCATGTCTAATGGATGTCAGTTATCAGTTATTTCCTGTTAATTGGAAAATTCATAAACTTAAGGATTATGCTAGGCCACAAAAATCACCTGAGCCGACCAAGCATAGAAATGGATACAATATGGGAACTAGTAATAAGGAGTGCCAGAGAAAAGTAATAACCACAAAAATTGCAATATGAGCTCTGGTAAAAAAATGGTTGCTGAATACATTAGGTTTATAATACCCAGAAATTCATACATGGATGTCCTCAAGGACACATGGCACATGGGACAAAGGTGTTAGTTAGATCCAGTGACAGGACCCAAAGAGTGTGAGTTCAATACCTGGTTAAGGCGGTGGAGAACTTGGAGAGGGGAATTAACAGTGAGCGAAATAAAGGGTTCAGTTCGACATTCCAACCACCTGAAGAAGGTCGGAGTGTACAACGGCTGAAACGTTGAAATAAATATGGTGATAAAGATGAGGACAATAGTTTGAATAATGTAAATAGTGAATATATAAAGTCACATTGTGTTTTATATTATAGGAGTGTTACTTTTATTTAGTTATTTTTTTTAATAAATTCACCCCAAGCAAGGTGATAATGCCACTAGATGCAAGAGGCAACTGGTAGTGAAAGAGAATTAAAAGATTTTAGAAGGAACTGGAAACCCAATCCTAAACAGAAAACAAGGGATAAACCTCTACACCTGTCCAAAAGGCCAAGGAGGAGTTTGGACTGGATGATAGGCAAGCCTATCATATTAAAACCAGATGATAGGCAAACCTATATAATATATCTCTTTTTGCTATAAGTTAGTAGGCAGGTCAGGATCTTCAGTCTTGATTGGTAATCAGTCTAAGGACAACACTGATTTTAAAACTAGTTGACTATAGAGCAAATAACTTCATCCCATATAAATGTACTTGCTGCAGAAAAAAAGCATCAACAAAATGTATGTTGAAGGCTGTGAGACCATACTTCTTAATGGAGTGTACAGGACTTTAGTGAGTGAGTGATGTTTGTAATTGTGGAATATGTGAAATCATCATAATTCAATGTACATAGATGGACACTCAATTTTTAGATATCTTTTAAATTTCACAAGTAATTAAGTCCAGAATGCACCAGTTGAAATATTTAAGAGGAAAGTGAAATTACTGATTTGAACATATGAAAAATTAGTTGAATCTGAACTAAGAACTATCTTCGGTATTAAAGATTCCTATACAATGAACTAAACCATTTTATTTTTATGTTAAAATAAGCAACTGTTCATAAAATGGCTGCTTCGACCAAAAAAGTCAACTACTATAAGTGTATTAATTGCTTAAATGATACCAAAAGTTTCAAGTGTATCTATTTTGTTATTATCACAAAGAAAAATTACCTCTTCAGGTTTTCCCAATCTCTTGGCAGGAATCTGTGGAATGAGAGCCTGGAAGATATTTTCTTGGTAATTGGCAGCTGCTGTTTCTGAGTAGATAATGCCCTGATAACAAACATATGAAAAGTATTAATGTAAAATAAAAGAAAGACATCATTACACCAACTTACAGAAATGATTCTAAAAGTTGATTATTTATGTTTTCAGTTTAAAAATTGAGTTTAAATTTAAAAAAAAAATAAAATCATCATTTTAAAACAAATAGGTTTTTGGTACAATATATAAGTTATTTTTTTTTTATAAGATAACAATTATATTATCATATGAATGAATGAAAAATGTCTTTGATGAGATTCTATTCAAAATCATTGAAGATGACAGGATGCAATCTACACCTGAAGAAGGCTGCAGAGCATATTTGAAACATATTGCTTAAAGATAAGGATCCTGCATCTAATTAGTCCTTCAGTTTGTATGCTGATCATATTTATAGGGTTTGAAGAGGTAGGACAGCAAGTACCACAACATACTTTTTGCTGTTGTGAACATTTCTAAGTAGATTCTAAAATTTGTTTTTGAGTCAATTTTAGCACTAAAACCATTTTCTTTAGGCTAGCATCCTTATCATTTTCTCATACAGTTGTTGCAGGGAGAGGAGAGATCTCACTCTGTGAGTTGGTCTTACCCACTAATATTGTGTTTAAGTTTTTGATCAGAGGAATCTTAGAAAAAGCTGATTGAAATGCCCCCCAGGAGTCAAGGGAATGAGTTACAAGTAAAGAAAGAAGTAGCTTTCAAAATACATGACCAATGCTTGCAGAAACAATGATATAGCGTTTATATACTCAGTAATCAGTTTAACCCTTTCCAATTCTGTAGTGTTGTGAGTCAGTAGCTGTCAGTCTTATTGACAGCATATCAATAAAATGACATTTCCCTGGATTGGTAGTAGTAACAGTGAGAGAATTTGGTTTTAGAACTACAGACAAATCTGGTTTCAAACTCTTCCATTTGATTGTCAGTCTGTAAAGGAAAAATTTCTTCAGCTGAACAAGTTTACTTGTCAGTATTTTGCAAGGAGTAGTGGTGGAGTAGATCGTAAACAAGAGTGGTTCATGTCAACCATGTGACTGACTCTACGTGCCGTTCCAACTAAATAACTCTTTGGGACTCTCACTGGCTTTTTGACCTTAGTGCTGCACTCAATTACCTGAATCTTTTGTTCTGTATGAATAATTCAGATTCCAATCAGCCATTAGGTACAGATCCACTTATTTGTAAAATCCACCCCAGAAAATGTTACATTCCTCACTGGTAAACTCTAACCACATCAATTCCCATTCCAACCAAGTACAAAGTATAGATTCACTTACTTGCAAAGTAAAAAAAAAAAAATTAAAAAAAAACATGGGAGATATCTTTTGAGGGATTTTTTTTTAAAAAAAATATGAGTTTATATACTAGTTTATATGGTAGCTAAAAAGGCAAATTATACAATTGTAGCAAATGACTTACTGGAGCCACACAGTTAATTCGAACACCAGATCCAGCCCATTCCACAGCCAGAGATTTTGTCAAATTATAAACTCCCGCACGAGCAGCACCTGTGTGACTAAAGTCAAATGAAAAGAAAATAGAAACTACATAATCAATTCATGGGGCAGAGAAACATTATTTTTAAATTGTCAAAATTAAAAGTTCCATATGTGGAATTCAAAAAATTCTTTGAGGGAATGTTTATTGGGTTAATGTAATCGTAATATTGTCAGTTTCCTTATAAGGAAATATTCAGTATACAGTGACCAAACAACCAATGTTACTATCAGTTGAAATTTATAAAATCATTCTCTTAAAAACAATTTTTCAGAAAAATAGGTTTCTCAAGTCCAGTATCTGTTATTGCTCTTTCCAGTAATGATAGTGGTTTCCTTCCTAACCTTTTATTTGAAGTAGTGTGGAATCTCATCGTCTTGATTATGTCATTATTTTCTCTTAAAGTTACATGTGATATCTATTTTAACTTTTGCTGCTGCTGAAAGTTCTTAAGTTATGTGGTGTCTGTTATTTGATACAGTTCTTTGAAGTGCCAGTCCACAATATTAAGAATAAAAGATGGAGAATTGTCCACAATCTCTAGTCTACAGATTAGGAATAGTAAATATCACATGTCTTCTATAACTGACAACTCTTGCTTTATTAATTCAGGCATAGATTTGAGAGGTCCTTCAAGAAATGACATAACCTTATTTCAAAATGGTAATGGGGGGGGCAAAAAGTGCAGTGTGGTGCTCACTGACAGGCCAGCAATTTTTTCCTCTTCTTTGGTCACCTCAAGGAAATGGATTGTGTGACTCCCTTTCTCAGCCATTACACTGTGCAGTTGTGAAACAGACACCAACTCAGCTGCGCCTACTTCAACTTCCTCTTTGTCCGTCTGTCAATCCGTATGTCCAGCTCTATTGCATGCAGTCCGCCGAATGACTTCGGTTGTCTTGTGCTGCTGGCACCCCACTTTTTATGTTATTCCAATACGGCCAAAATTTGCATGTGTGCAAATATCATCTCGTTTTTGACGAGATATGCGTGCATAAATTGTGTCTTCAATAGCAGCCATATTTCTTTTTGTCATCACTTTGCAGGCAAGACACATTTGTGCTCATTTCGAATTCTGACGTAAGTCATGTCTTTCATCACAGTTGTTCTGGCCATTTCTAACAATGCAGTTTCCCACCTCAATCCATTAAAGTTTTAGGACTCAAAAAACAGGTACATATAAACACCTTGCGAATGTCCACTGTTTCATTTAACTCACTACTATGGTTTACTTGGACACGTCCAAATGGTTAGCAATCTTGTTTTGCTAGATGATCAATTATGACTGAAAAGTGAGTTCAATCCTCACTGGGTGCTCTGTGCTTTTGGCATTGTGCCACATTTAAGCTACACATTGTAACAATCACAATGAAGGTATTTATAGAAAAAACACAAGGAATCTACAATACAGCAGTGGGAAAATGACTGTAGCCGTGACGCCAGGTCAGGACCAATAATATTGCTGATTCTGTTTTGGATTTTATTAATAATCTCTAAATATATAGAAGGATCATCAGACCATATATGGCAGCAATATTCAAAGCAAGGACAAATGGTAACCTTATAAATATGTAAGATAGATTCTGGAGAAAAAAATTGTCTGGCACAACATAGTGAATCAACTTACTTAGCAGTAAACCTAGCAATGGATTCAATATAATCTTTCCACTCATGTCAACTGAAAATATTAGCCTGAAATGGCACAAGTCATATTCCTGGAGGTTAGCATCAGCCATGCTGATGGGAGGAAGAAAAGAATCTCTCAGATGATTAATAGAGAGAAGTTTCATTTTGGAGGTCTTAAAATTAACAAGTCCTTCCCTACCTCAGTTAACAGCAGATTGTAGGTCATCGGTTGCCAATTACAACTTATTAAACTTACTATTGCAACAGGAGTAAATAGTTGTGCCATCAGCATAGATACCAAGTTAAGAACCGATGTCATCAGGAAGGTCATTGTTGAAAATTAAGAACAAAGTAGGTCCAAGGATAGGACTTGTGTTAGATCTAAAAGAGTGGCTATTCAGGATAATTTTCATTGCTCCCATAAATTTAATAAAAGGTTTGGATCAAAATTGCAAGAAGGTTACTGAGTACAACAGATATCTGAAAAAAGCCAGGGTACAATGGTCAAATTGTTGTGAGTATAAGAATCAAAATGAAGACACTAGTCTGAAGATAAAAGCAGATAACAGATTACATACATTGCCATCATTCACTGGCATTAACTTTTATTTTGGCAAGATGTATTGCTTAATATATTATTTTCTGTTGTGTGAGTGGCATATGTGAAAACATTGATCGACGCTAATAAATATCCCCATTTGTTTTCAATTCAAAGAAATAACATTTTTATCCAAATATCAACTGCCATGAAAAATATCCTGTTTGACAAACTGATTAAGCATAATCTAATGAAAACACATTTTTTTTTTCTCCTTCTCTTTCTTGGTCATTTGGTGACCTGTTTCTCAATAACAATTGATTTTAGTAAAACAATAAATGATGACAAGGGTCATCCAAATAGTTCTAAGCCACACCCAGAAAGAAGAGCCATAGCTGAACATTTTTGTAGTGTCAACACACACTACCACTTCTTATAAAACTAGAAAAACTAATTAAAATTTCTGTATTAATTTCTGTGCTGGTGAGGCCCATAAAAAGACGTGTGATAAATCTAAAAATGGACAAAACAGGGACCCGAGCACTCATAAAGTATCTGCAAAAGAAAGATATAACACACAAGGAAATCCATAAGGACATGGTATAGATACTTGTTAAAGACTCCTCTTTCTATGCAACTGTGAAGAAGTGGGCTGCGGAATTCAAGCAAGGCAGAGACAGTACAGAAGATGGCCCTCAGTTAGATCATCCAAAAACCACTGATGAAAAAGTTGAGCCCATTCACCATACGGTGTATGACTTACTGACTAGCAGATAGCTAAGTCCATGGGTATTAGTTCTGGTTGGGTCCATACTGTTTTAACTGAGATCTTGGAATTGAGCAAGTTGGCTACAAGATGGGTCCCAAGTATGCTGACACCAGAGCAGAAGATAAAAAAGGGTCAACATTTCCAGGACACTTCTGACCTGCTGACCCTGAGAATTTCCACTGCAGATTAGTAGCTCAAGATGAAACTTGGGTTCACCATTTTGAATCTGAATCAAAGATTCAAAGCAAACAGTGGAACCCCCCCCCCGCCAAAGAATTTCAAGCAGGTAGCATCTGTTGGGAAGGTGATAGCTTCATTTTCTTCTTTTTTGATTTTGAAGGTGTAATCATGATAGACTATATGGAAAAGGGAAAAACTATTAATGGTCAGCACTATACATCAGAATTAAGACAACTGAAGGAAGCAATCAAGTTGAAATGCAGTAGGAAACTGAGAGCAGGTATGCTCTTGCTCCAAGATAAACGCACCAGTTTACACTACTCAGGTTGCAGTACCTGAAGCAGCCAACTGTGGTTTTGGATTGCTACCCCATCTCCATTACTCACCAGAATTAGCTCCATCTGACTTCTTCCTGTTTCCTAAACCCAAAACCCACCTACATGGTTGCCATTTTGGAAACAATGATTAGATCATATGTGCTGTGAAAGAGTCTGTGGAGGACCAGGGTGTCATCTTCTGTGATGGGATTGCAATGCTTAAGCATCATTGGACCAAGTACATTGATGTCAAGGGATGGGGGGTACTATATTGATAAATAGTGAAAAACTGTCTTGTTTCTCCAAATCCTGGGTTAGGCTTAGAACTTTTTGAATGAACCTCATACTTTTATTTACAGTAAAGAAAACCATTAACAAACCTCATTAATGGGAGTCCTTTCCACATATCTGCAATTATATTGACAATAACGCCACTATTTTCCTTCATGTATTGATTGTATGCTGTAAAGAAAAAAGAAAAAAATGTGAACATAAGTTGGATATTTCTGATGCAATTATTTTTTGCAAACAAGGATAATGATATCAGCTTACAGAATAAATTTTAATACAAGCATTTTACAGTTGAAATGGCTGCTAGATGTAATTATAAGTTTTATGCTAACAATTTTCTCTCTTGCACTTTTCACTTATGGAACTCTTTTCCAGCTTCTTGCTTTCCAGTGAACTTTGATCTTAAAAAATTTAAATGTAATGTCAATCATTTTCTTCTGTCTTCTTAATTCCTGTTCTTTTATTGTTCTCTCTCCTTAATAATGTTTTCTTTTCCTTAATTTCCTTCACTCTCAGTAACTTCTTGCATTTTAATTGCTTTGATTGAGGTGAAATGATTTTTAAAAAAATAAAAGAAAAGAACGATTATGTGTGTAAAAATTTAAAAAGTTTTAGCCATGAAAAATCAATTAAGAAACAATAAAAAGTCACAGAAGTTCATAGAATGAAGTACATCGGTACATTACTAAGTTCATAGCCTTATGATGATGAAGAATTAGAAGGTTATTTACCTTACCTCCCCACGAGGCAGAATGTGGCACAAAGCTGTTTTTAATGTGGGGTAGGCTTGGGCAAAAATTCCCTGTAGACCCCGTATACATGGGGTAGGGTAACTGTCTACCATCCCAGATGAGACTCTGCCCTTCAGCATAGCCTTGTCTGGGTTCCTCTCTGCTTGAAGGCAGAGAGTTTGACCAGCTCAGCTGGAGACGAATCTTGAACTAATTGCCGAAGCAAGTCTAATGAATAAAGTAAAAAAAAAAAAGCATTTATAATACACAATGTTTTTTTAACAAACTCCTTCCTTGTAAATGAACTTAATTTGGTGATGAATATTAATCAGATAGATTAAACATTCTTCTGCTTAAACATGTAGAGGTGAATAAAGTATTGCAAAAAGACACAAACTTCACTTGACTATCTTAGTCACTACAAAAATCATGATACCCTGGTGAGAAACACAGGAGGTTTTAAAGTAGTTTACAAGACTCGTGATGCATACAATTTTGTCAGGAGTGAGAAACTTGCATGCTTTAGCAAACAACCTCGTCTGAGTAGAAAGTTTTTTTTTTCTTTGCAATAGCTTTATGCAATGTCGGAGCATTTTGATTGATTTTGCCATTTACTTCTCTATGGGAGTATAAGTCCACAGTAAAACCACACTAGGTGGTGCTGCTGTGGTTTATGTAGCATGTACGTTTTGTGGGGTGGAGTTACTAGCCCCACACCCAACTGGTTTTGGATTCAGAGTTGTCTTTCTAGTCTGGTTATCAACAAAGTCTAGAGGACTCAATCTGCTTTGCTATTTAACCTATAACTGGCAGTTGGGGGGGGGAGACGAATTCATGTCTTTCCCAAGGGTATTTGTGTGAAAGTGAATGCAATGGCTACAATCAGAATTTGGACATTGCATGCTGATCCCACTATCTATACTGATCACTGCTACGCTATGTATGCATCTAGCTTAGACATTATACAATGAATATTTTGGATCAAAATTCAGCTGTCAGGCTACAGATTTCTTGATCCATCCTTTCACTGTCATCTACCTATATCTGTTTTTATTTGCCACTTCATGCATACAAATGTGACCAGCTCTTTTTTCATGCTGAATACACAGGACACAGGCCAAGGTATCCTGTTGGGCCATTCAAAAAGTGCGCTTGTTTTCATAACCACTGACACCATGGTGTTCTAATCCCATTCTTTTAATTTTGTTATCTTTCTTTTTTGATTTATTCTTTTTACAATGTTTTGGTTTTCTTCAGGTGGCTGTCACATTCTAGAATTTTTACTGAAGCATGTTCTGATTATTTTTTTACAATGTTTCAGTCATATTCAAAAAAAATTTCAGATCAAAATTCAATTAATAATTATATATCAGGTTGTGACCTAATTGTAAATAAAATAGATGCTTTGTAGTTAAATGTACTAATAACAGGAAATAGATAAAATGGTGAGCCAATAGTACTACAGGAAAGGCATGGACTGTTTTGAAGGAATCATTTTCAGCTGAGGCTTTAAAATATGCTTTTTAAAGTCAACCTTCAAAATAAAGAAATGATAAATTATTTACATTATTCGGACTATTGTCCTCATCTTTGTCGCCATATTTATTACAATGAGGACACATGGCACAGTGGATAAAGGTGTTGGTTAGATCCAGTGACAGGACCCAAAGAGTGTGAGTTCAATAACCGGTTAAGGCAGTGGAGAACTTTCAAAGGGAAATTAACAGGAGATAACTGATAACTGACATCCATCAAACATGGCACATGGAACTAGAACAGTCTACCCCAGTGAGCGAAATAAAGGGTTCAGTTCAACATTCCAACCCCAGAGCGTACAATGACCGAAACATTGTAATAAATATGGCAACAAAGATGAGGACGATAGTCCGAATAATGTAAATAATGCACATAATGCCTCATCTCAGAAATATAGACAGACTCTAAAGAAATGATCTTATTGCAATGTGCAGCATTCAATAACTTTCAGAGAATTTGGACAGAATACATTTCATCCTATTAGATATGCCATTCTTATTCAATACTTTCTGTTATATGCAACACCCTTTCTGAAGATTTTTGAATCTAGTGACTCCTGCACTGTTTAGTGTGTTGGCTACTTCTATAATTAATGTGTAAGGTTTCTTATGAGAATATTTTACAATGCATGAAATAATGGTGGTGAAAAAGAGTACATGCACAAAAATAAGAGAGACCAACTGCTTTGCAATGCAAGATGACATTTATTAATCAAAGCAACAAAAAGAAAGTTTAAGAGTTTCTTTTCCTAGAAGTAAATTGCATAGACAATGAAAAAGTTAATGAATGTATTTGAGTGTAACTTGCCTGTGTAGGTGTGTTTGTGTGTGAAGCATCCAGAGCCCTTTCTGCTTTAGTGTGAAAAGTTCATGGCACCCACTTCAAAACAAGGACAAAAGGAGAAGGTTATTTAGCTTACCTCCCTGCAAGGCAGGTTGTGGCACAAGGCCATTTTTAATGTGGAGAAAAAACCAAGCCCATAGGCTTGGGCAAAAATTCCTGTAGATCCCATATACACAGGGTTGGGTAGCTGTCTACCACCCCAGACGAGACTGCCCTTTGGCAGTGCCTCTTCTGGGTTCCTCTCTGCCCGAAAGCAGAGAGTTCGACCAGCTTGGCTGGAGATGAATCTCCAACTAAAGCAAGGAAAACAGGAGAAGAGTTACTTTAAGGATTCACAGTGGTTTTATACTCTCAGGGCTGCTGCTGAATACTATGTTTATTAAAGGCTGCTGCTGATACTATGTTTATTAAAGGCTGCTGCTGAATACTACTACTATAACTGCTTGGTTCACAGACTGAACTGATGAATTCCAGAGAATGAAAGCAATTTTACACTTATTCATTAAGTTATTTAGTGTAATTAAACCATGTCCTTTTCTAATTATAGACTTCTATGCTGTGTTCATGGATTGAATTAGTTGCTGAATTTTGGAAAAAAATTCGGTGTACAGTTTCTTTGATTTGCCTTATTTTCCATTTTTCTTCATCTATTATTTTAACATGAGTTTACCATTTCTGTCCAAAAAATTATGGCAATTCACCCACTTCAATATAGTAGACTTTTCTGGTGACACTCACACACATGGGTATATCTTTTAGTGCTGAAGGTAGCTGTGTTTTGCTAACATGGTGAGCAATTAGCATCAAAGCCTCATGTTGACAGTTTTTGAAAACTTTGATATTCAGATCTATCGACTCTCCCACTTGGTAGGGACAAGTTTGGAAAAGAAAAAAATGAATGATGTTCAGGGATTGCACAACAGACACCTGAAAATGGTTAGCAAACAAATAAACCAAAACATTGGGAAAAAAAGAAATTAAGACAGAAAATGTGAATAATCTGATGTTTTTTTTTCTATAAATATGCTATGGAATCTTTTTATTGAAACAAAAAGCCTACAATTGTGTGTACATGCAAATATATACATGAGGTTTGTCTAGAAAGTATCCAGCCATTTTGAATATTTTAAGCCTTGATTCAACTTGGCAATCAATCTGTAGCCAAATGAGCTTGTGTTCTGCTGACGTTGCTCATACAACACTAAATACTTCTTTTTCCTTTTTTTTCTTGATTTCTTGCACACGTCACTAATGTAAAAATCCTGCCTTCTCACAACTTCAGCCCTCTTTTATCATCCCAACACCACAGTTGACTGACCAATTAGTGTTCTTTGCTTTTGATAACATCCTCCAGACCGACCAATCAGCATGCAACTTGCTATTAGTCAAACCACGCTAAGCTGTACAAAAGCCACCATTACAGAACATACACTTTTGGAATAATCTAACGTGATGAGGGGAGAATCATGCCATTGCTACATGTCGTGTATTGAGGTAAGGAACTTATTTTACTTTGCACCAGATGCAAGCCACTCTGACTTGCTTGTTCTACATAATTGGTCACCCCACAATCAAAGGAAATTTTACTGCACACATGTTGGGAGTCATTTTCCTGTGGATTACCGGTATAAAGCCATAGAGTGAGCTTCATTAAAATGGATATTTTAAACCATGGATTAAGGATTAGAAGGGAATGCAACAAGGCAATTGCAAAACATTTTTGCAGACTGTTTTGAAAAGTGTAAAGGACTGATATAAGTAATAATGAACTTGGCTAACAATCAAGGCAGGGTTTCTTACCTTCTCTACAGCAAAGAAAAGTACCAGTTAAGTTGGTCTCAATAACAGCCTTCCATCCTTTTAATGTGATATTTTCACCTGGGCTAAGGAACTGTCCGCCACCATTATTTATTAAATAATCCAATTTTCCATATTTTGACAATGTGGTAGAAATCAGGTTCTTCACCTGGTAAATATAATAAATTTTCCTTAAAACAGTTTTAAATAAGTAACTCAAAAAAGATTTGCTACAAAATGAGTTTTATTATCAAAATCTTTGTGCTATTATTAAGAGGAAAGATCAAAAGATTTTTTTTATAAAAAAATTAATTTTTTTAATCCTTTTTAGAACCTTTGAAATTTTGGTTAAAAACGTTACTTTTCAGACATCAATGTGGAAACATAAATTTGTACAGGAAATTTGAGTGTCTTTTTGCAGTGAAAACATATTTATTGGGAAATTCTTGCAAAAATTAGATAATTGTTGAATTTAAATGAAAATTTCAGAACTTATTCACAACTGAATTATTTTTTAAATGTTTCTTTTTTTAAAAATCATTGTAAAAAATATATTTTTATATATATATATATATATATATATATATATATATATATATATATGTTACCATCCATTTATTTAATTTTATGAAATTTCAACAAATTCTTTTTTTTTGTAGTGTTTAATGTTAGTTATAAGAACAAGTCAACAGAGAATTTAAAACAACAAATGTTTTTAGTCAAACATAACCCCTATTTACAGAAAATATACTTTGAATCATAAAATAAAAAATGCAATAAAATTAAGACATTATTTAATTAGAAAAGCTCTTAATTGCTTTTATAAATAAAATATACTATGGACATTATTGTCTTAAGGAAAATTTTTTTGATGAATATTTACAAGAATTGTTTTCTTTCTTAAAAATTTTAATTAGAATAATTTATAAACTTTTAAAATTCTGTATTAATTTGTAGCAATCAAGTGATATTGTTATTAAATACATTATCACCATGTTTGCTTTAACATTTCCAAACATACTCATTGGAACTTTTTGTATCAAGTCCAATTCAGTTTATCTTCAGACAGCTTCGTACATTGATAGCCTGTATTGTAACTGACAAAGGGTTTTATACATAAATGTTGTCAGCCACAGGTTATAATGTTTTTAAAAACAGCTCAACAGGAACAGTCAATGACTAGATCTGTGACAAACAATCAGCAAACCAGGCCCTGCTTCAATCAACAGCATAGACACATGCTACCATGACAACGCATTAGTCAGTGATGATTTTTCTACACTGAAAAACATAGAAAGCCATGACAAAATTAAGTCCTTTCTCCTCTCTTGTTGTTTATCTTTAGACTGAGCTTCATAGATTGATAGTCTGTAGTGTAACTGAAAAAGGATTTACCACAGAAAGAATAACAAATGTTGTCAGCCACGAGTTATCTCCTCTTACTTTTTTACAATTCTGTACAAATAGAACTCCAAATTAAATAAGTGGTTTCTGGAACCTGATTGGATAGGACAAATCATGTGAGGTTCTTTCTCCGAGGTCCGAGCAGTTGAACTCTGAATGACCTAAAAATGGGTCAGGGCTCAGGTTACTGAGTACATTTCAGGACAAAACTCAAATAGTGATTCGGAGCCAAGCCAATGTGATAAAAAGAGTTCACCGGGAACAGTCAGTGACTAGATCTGTGACAAACTGTAAGCGAACCAGGCATTGCCTCGATCAACAGCATAGACACATGTTACTATGACAATGTATTAGTCAGCAAGGATTTTTTTTTACACTGAAAAATATACAAAACTGAAAATAAATACTGTCACCTCTTTGTTTCACTGTGTTTAAAATTACTATTCTTGTGTGCAATCAATCAGTAATCACACGCGTTTCATTAGTGTGCGTTTCACACACACACATATTGACATACCATGCTGCTTGTTTTCATCACTTACAACAAATTATTACGAACAATCAAACTATTGGTCTATTTATGGTCACAACAAAGAACATTGAATTTTAATATGTAAATGCATGTACCTACTTGTATGAATGTTATTGTCATATCTAACTTATTTTCTTATTTTTCTGTGAAGACCATTTCTTCACATTGTTTATAATTTTGTGTTGTATTTACGGATATGACACTAGGATTTTATTTTTCCACCAAAAATCCGGGTAGACTGACTGCAAATTACCATAATGTTTTGTGCTTATTCAAAGAAATTACTAGGCACAAAAAAGAATAAGAAAAGGAATGCAATGTAAATAATAAATTCAATAATACCAGAAAAGGTTACATTACCTCTTCTTCTTCACGAATATTACATTTAACATAATTTATTTCAGAACAACTTGAGGCTGGAATTTGCTTTCGGAAGTTTTCTGTAGCAGCCTGCAAACGTTCCATCTTTCTGGACGCAATTATTACATGGCATCCTGACAAAGTAAAAAAAACAACAAAAAAACAATTACATTTAATGAGCATTTAGAAACAAATTATCTATTTTTTGCATTAAAGTAAAAACAGGGACATTAATTTTCTGACTTTATAGTGTCTTTTCCTTTTTTTATTGCTTTCAATTCAAATGGATGTTGTTAATTAATATTTATTTTTATTCTTATGTGAGCATTATTTTCTGAAATAGATCCCAATATGAACTGGATAAAATTAAAAGACTGTCTTTTTTTCCCCTCTTCATGTCTTCTGAATAAAGAAATGAAAAAAACTTTGTTACACAAATTTCCCAAGAATAAAATTAAAAGATTAAAAAAAATTCAGATGTCATTTCAAAAGTTATTAACTTGTAAAAAGTAACAGGGTTTGTTGCAAAAATAAAGAGTTTGTAGGAAATTTACAAAAATTTAATAGCAGTTTAAGTTGCCATGATAGTCAACAAGTGATTATGGCCCAAATAAATTACCTGACTTGCATGTTAGTAAAGTAGTAGATCAGGAAAAAAAAAATGGATATTGAAATCTGGACTTAAACCAGTTAATGACATCAAATGGCAGACTTGAGTTATTTTGTAGTTTAGAGTCCCAAATTATCAGTTTTACTGTGGAAGGTACTTGGTCTTGATTAATTACAACAAATGAATTCTAATTAAGCAGATAAATCCAAGAAAAACAAAACTTAAAAAAAATACAAAAGTAAAACATTTTAATATTTTAACTATGGTCAACAAGAGCATATGATCATTTCTGTCAGTCTTGCGAACTGATTGTGTGTATGTGTGTGTTTTTTTTTTGTTTTTATAAAATGTGGAGACTGTCAAAAAAGAAAAGAAAAAATTAAAATTTAAATTTAAATCGTATTTTGTCATAATTTATATCTCAGCAACTGTGATAATTTGGAAGATTAAACTAAAAGATTGCCTAGATTGGCTGAAGCAGAAGTTGATTCAATCAGCTGACGAAAACTCAGCTTTAAAAGTCTGGCTAATTAATAAAGTAAGAAGACAGTCTCCTCGACGGAAATATAGCAAGAAAAATAAATAAACAATACACCGCCTATTAAATAAAATTTAAGGTAGCCAATTTATTCTTCAGATCACGACTTTAGTGCCAAAGTCATCAGTAGTTGTTTAAAGTATACTGAGAATAAATAGCATTTTTGAAAACTGAAAAGTTTTATTTGTTTCTTGTGTAAAAAAAAAGTGTTCAATTTTGGTTTTTTACTTACCGAGATACAACAGTTCTGAAACTATGGCGTGCCCAATCCCCGTAGCGCCTCCAGTCACTATAGCAACTTTTTTCTTAAAAAGATTAGGGCGAAAAATACTTCGTACCTCTCTTGCAAAAGTTGCCATTGCTGGAAGTTTTAAGAAGTGAAACCAATGTCCGGTACATGCACGAGTTTTTCGTAATTTACTCAGGGGAGGTAATCTAATACTATTAGAGTTATCTCCACTTTGGCCTGAAATTTCACCCTTTTCTTTTTACTGAAAACCAAATAATAAGAAAAACAATTCTCTCACATCCATTCGCCGAAATACTACCTGGAAATAAGTTGATTTAATTTAGCTATCTACATTTAGTATTAAGTAGCGTGGATAAAAAATGAGTTCATTTTTATATGAAAAGTAAACAAAAGTTAAGTGAATTAAAATGTGTAAATTATAAACAAAGTTCAAATAATGTCATACCTGCTTGTACAGTACACGTACATATATACGTGACGTACTTTGATATTTTAAAGTGAATGGAAAAAAAACTAGCATAGTTCCTATAAAAAATTATGAGATTATTTAAACATATTGATTGGCAGTTCTTTAGCTGTCCGCTACCACTTTTTACAAATGTCGATTTTCGTGCAAAGAGCGGATCACATCTTCAAAAACCTAAACTTCTCATTGGATAATAAATATAAATTTATCTTTACGTGTATTGTTCTCAATAAGCGAGACAAAACATATTAGACTGAGTTTTTAAAGGCGCTTTCTGAGTGGTTAACAGGTGTGGAAAAAACAATTTACCTGCTCACCACTACGTCCGAACAACGTCAACCTAGTTTTTGACCTGACGAAAAAACAATGCCTTCGGAGCCTGTACGTGGTTGAAGGAACATATAAGTTTACGAGCGGACCCGCCCATGAGAATTTACGACGACCAAATTCGCTAATCGACTTCACGACGCTTGAATCATTACTGCAGCGAAGTACCAAGTTTAACGTTCTTTAACATAAAATAACTTCACTGAAAATCAAACAATTTCAACCAAACATCTCACTCATCAACTTTAAAATTTTACATTCTTATTCAATTACGTTCAGACGAACTTTAATTACAAACAATTACGAAAAACATTTAAAATGGAACATTCACTTCTCCAACTTCTTTAAAGATATTTTCAAGTGAACATTTTGAACTACAAGTTAATTCAGTTTTTGTGAGCTCGGACAAAAAATGGTCTTTATTAGTAAAAACAAGTCAAAGGGAAGTAACTCTTATTATTGTTATTGTAAAAACTGTTGTTTTTTTTATAAATATAAATATTGTTCCTGATTAAGAAAAGTTATTTTCTTGTATTTCTTCTCTTGTTTGCTTTTTTTATTTTCTTGCACATTCGTAAAGTAAAAAAGTGGGTTGATTTATTCCGTCAATACCACCACAGTTCCTAGGATTAGTTTAACATGGAAAAAAGGTGGAAGTGACAAAAAAACAAATGGCGATAAGTAAGACGTCCGTGACTTGCAAGGTTCGTGGGTGATTGAGAGTTCGTTCGGGGTATTGTAGAATCAGACTTCTACATTTGTTTTTAAAACCCATTAAAAGTGGCTCAGAACAAAGTTCTTTCAAATCCAAAGTAGCAAAACAAACCATTAAAACAGGCTCCAGAGAGCAGTGACTGAAACGCTTTTTGATTGGTTAATAAACATAAAAAAATTATTTTCACACGCTCTTAACTCCGTACGCGCATATCGGTCTAATGTCTATCCTTAGTAAACACAAATTGGAACCTCCCACGTGACCTGAGACAGCAATAAATATGAAAACTTCATTCGACTTCGACAGTAAGTCGTACGAATTTATCAGCTCGACACACAAATGCACGATACTCATTTTCCTGGCTTAAAGTTAATTTTATTTAACATTAGCACACTTTGTGAAATACACTTGTTGCAGAATTTATGCTAAGTAAGATGTCTCAGAAGGTGAAATTGTGTGAAGGCCTAAAATATGCTTGTACATTATGCATTTATAAATTAAACGAACATTTGAAGACAATACAACTTGAAGAAATCAAGGAAAAACAACGTAGTTATAGATTTCAACAATAACATGAATTTATATATATATATATTCGACATACACAAAGTGATGATAGGTTGCTTGTTAAACGTGGCAAGTGAGATAAGATTGCAAAGAGTGTCCATGCAGAGATTTGGTGAATGAATGTTGATGGTTTAAGTTTGTTTGTGAAATTAAAACAGTTTGATTTCTGCAAGGTAAAATGTCAATTGTGTGAATTCAAATAATAGTATGTATGTGTGTGTGACAATTGTAAGTGTTGATTCAAGTTATGAAGAGTTGTGTACCTTTGACTGATATGCTAAAGTTGATTAAATGTACAATTACTATTTCATAGTGATAATGTCACTTTTTCAGTAAATTGTAAGTTAAGTTTCTTCACGCGGCAATAGTAGTGCGAGTGGTGTTGAGTTGATGAGAGGCTGGTATTGTTATTGAGTCAGTGTTTTGGCACGAGTGGAGTCTGCTGGCATCTCTCAAAACTCAGTGTCTGACTGACTTGAATCAATTCGAGCGATTCTTTTTTTTTTTTTTTTTTTTTTTTTTTTTGGGTTTTCAAATAGGCTCCAGACAGCTGAGCGGGAAAAAATGATTTGTCTCTTGCTACATTTTAGTGTCCTTTTAACCAATGGGAAGTTGAGTTTGGAAAAGTGAAGTGATGATTGGTTAAAGGTTAATTTGGGGAAGAGTGCATCTTCCCGTAGGGCGTGACAGGCAAGTATGAAGGATTCCATACACTCACTCATCTACATAAACTCAACAGTGAACAAGTGACGAATTCAGTGAAAGAGAGACAACTTTACACAGAACAATAAGTCGAGCAGAATATTACAAAATTCAACACAAAAATAAACAACATACAAATACCTTATCAAACTTACCCATTTTTGCGCATACAATTTCTCAACACTTAATCTTTCACATGATATTTTCATTAACACTTCAAAAACCAAGGAAGAAGGAACTTTGAAATAATTTAAACAACTTATACAATACAATTTTGTACATCAATTGTATTATATAAAAATATTCATTGTTAACAAAGATTTGTTTCATATCAACATTTCTCTTGTTGTTTGCCTGCTTTTTGTTATATTTTTGTTGAAGTAAAAAACAGTAGAGAGTTAATTAAATTTGCATTAATCAGCTGCACAAGATAGTAGTTGAGATAGGCACGTGGAAAAAATCTGCACATATGTAGTCGAGTGAAATAGACTTCTTGCAGACGATAATATTCCACGAATTATTTAAAAAATTTTATTCACTACAAAAAGTTCTCGTATCAAACACAAAAACCTTGTTAGTATGAATATCAAATCATAATAGGAGCAAAATAATCAAAATAAAACTCAACCATTACGTAAAATTTTAAAGGAAAAACATTTATTATTATTATTACACGAATACGAAAAAGGTACAAATACAAAGTTTACACAAAAATTTCCTTTTGTGCGCCAATTAAAGCAAGATAAGAAATTTCTGATAAAAAGGATTACCATCGAAAAATGGAAAAAAAATACTGTTTGTGAAAAGATAAAGATTTATCGTGTCTCTTACATTTTTCTACACAAAACGAACATTGACCGCTCGACGACCCAAAGGAGACAGCGTAAAAAATACGTTTGGTGCGCATAAGCTCCACGCATACATCCGCTTCAGCCAAAATAAATTTATTGACTAGTCAGAGCCACTCTTGCTCCAAAAACCAAAATCTTAATCTGGATCTAAATGACGGCTATATATTCTCTAATTAAAACAAACTCAATATAGGCAAACTTGGACGTCAACACCGGTAGGCAGAGAGACGCGGCACAAACCGGCCTTCATGTCAATACCGATGCGCTGAGAGAGAAACAACCACCTCCATAAGCGATGTCTAATTTTACCATTCTCTCTCGTTGTTACCTTAGTAACAGCAACAGACAAAGGTTACGAGTTTTGTATGTAGGTAAATTAATTATACATTTATTTGCCCATACTCAATGTATTCTTTTTACTTGAATTTATGTTTGCCGAGGCTGATAAGGAATTAACCTCCACAACAATAACAGCAACAACAAGGTTCGGTCTTCCAGGTTATCCCATTTTTGCCTCCACAACAGATTAAATGACAACAACAACAACAACAACAACAACAAAAAGAAAAGAAAAAAAGAAAAGAAAAGAGAAAAGGAAAACGATTTGTGAAGGGAGAAAAACAAAGGTGCAACCACCTTTCAGAAAAAAAAAATGGAAACACTTACTTTTACTTGCCCTGCGAGCATCTCTGGGACATATAGTAACTTTTGAAAGGTTCCTTTTAAATTCACAATGTTCGTTCTTGAGAAAATTTCTTTGAATTATTTTTTCTTTGTTTAACCGCAGGAGAATTTTCACTTCAACTTCAAAAAGTCTTTAGTCTCTCTGCAGTTGGCTGGTAACTTTGTGCCTTCTTGATGCTTAAATGTCTTCTGCTCCTTGATGTTAATTTGCCTTGTCTTCTTGCTGTCAAAATGTCTTTTCCCTCATCTACTGACTCTATATATTCCAAAAATAGACTCACAAAGCTCTCATTCGAGTTCTCATTAGTGCTTGAGACCACATCTCTCACTAGTCAGTATATACGAAAAAATAATCTTCCACAAATCAGTAATGGATCCTTAACAATTTGGGCTATTTAACCACAGAGCCGAAAAAAGATATACAAGTGTAACAATTTTTGCACAAACCGCCTGACCTTCATAAAAATACACTTCTCTCACAAGAACGTGTACTAAAAAAACAAACTAGATGATCAAACATTTATTCAAGACTAACATTTTTAAAGTAATAAATTAGAATTTTTATATTATCGCATTTTAGTAGTCGAAGTTGGATTTGTCGCTGGTCGAAGACAACACGGTTGAGTGTTGATGGAAGCGCCTTGGTGTTTTAGCATCCCGCTACCACTTTCTTATCAATGTCTAATTTTGTACAATTTTGTGCAAAAAAGTGGATCAGAGAGCCTACTCAGTTTAGTAAATATTTTCAGGAAATATCAGCTTCTAATTGGTCAATAAACACACAAGTGGGCGTTGCAATCCACCCACATACAAATATTTTTTCCAGTGCGAGACCAAGTCAAGTTTCCCGCCAATTTGCTGTGATCCTGTGATTCTCGTCTTGACCATGGGTGTTCAGACGTTAAAAGCATATTCACGCATGCACGTACGTACAAAATTTTCCAACCTACATTACAAACATACAGAACATTTCCAAACAAGCAACAAGAACTTTTCTCTTTGAAACATTCTTCTAAAGCTACAGTTTATTCATCATTTCTCAGCTTTGTAATTAATTCAACTTTTGTGAGTTCAGATAAAAATATTCACAGTCTAAGGGACATAACACCCACAGATCTTTAACTTCTACGCATGTACATCAATATACACAAAATAAATACAAATGTTGTTTTAAAACCATTTTTGTTCCTTCTTGTATTTCATGTTTTGTGGTATTTTACATCAAATATAAATTATGTGGTCATGTTATTCACGCAGCCGTAAACAGACATCTACAAACCTATCAACTAGCTATCACCACGAAATCGCTGAAAAATGAGCATAGCAAGATAATAAAGGCCTTAAACTTGACGAAAACAAAATTTTATCGTCAAAATGTTTGTTTTTATTAAGAAGAGGAAAGAACAAAGTAATTTTTAATTATTTTTCAAAAATTTTCTGTCTTTATTTTAACTTTTGAGTGAAAAACATCGTTTCTCTTTATCAGCGAGGGTCCGACTAAATAACATAGCGGAATTTTGCATGTTTTTTTAATGGCAGTCATTAATTTTGAAAATCTTGTAAAAATAAAAATAATTGTCAGATTTTAATGAAACTTTCAGAAAATATTCACAAAAGATGGAAATTATTATAAATATGTTTATTTTTTTTTCAAAGTCATGGTAAAAAAAAAAATTATATTTATTACCCACCCCCATAATTTATTTTATGAAAACTCATGAAATTCTAATTTGTACAGATTTAGCGATTAATTAGTTAAAAGCACAAGGCTTTGAGGAAGCAAATCATTTTTTTTTTAGTTGACACCCTTCGACCTTAAAATCAGCTCTGAATTTTAACATACAAAATTTAATTTCAAAAGCTTTTAGTTGCTTTTACTTGTTTGTAGTAATATGGATAATATTTTCTGAAAGCAAGAAACGTTTTCGATGAAAAATAAATTTTTACAACAATTATTTGTTATTTCTTAAATTATTTTATTGTTAAATTTATGTTTATTGCTTAAAGTTGTTAAATATTTTAAAATTAACCAAAATCTTGTACACCTTAGTCAGTGGTGTTATTAAGTAGATAAATATTATTTACAGATTATAAAATAAAGCTGGTTACAATCAGAAAGTTGCCTATAGCTAAAAATCTAATATAACATGTTTTTTTTGTGTGCCCCCAAATAGCTAAAATTCAAATATACGGAAGACCGGAAGCATCATGAAAACAATAGTCCGTCACGTGATTTGCGTTGGTAGTAACATAAACATTTTGACGATAAAATTCTGCTTTCGTCAAGTTTAAGGCCGTTTTTATCATGCTATGCCTACTTAAAAATAACGAGGTAAATACATTGTTCACATAAAGCTAAACTGTCACTTGTGACCTTCCATACTATAACTTTTTCTCCCGTAAGATGAAATTATGTACATGTCACTTGTCAATCAACACCTCTGTTAAGCCCGGCTTTCTATCATTTGAAAGTACTTTTTTTTTCAGCGCAGAAATTAAGTAATGTTTGTTTCAAAATACATTAAATAAAATTCATAATTTCTAATTTTCTTAAATTAATTAAAAAAAAATCATAATTGGTTTTTTAAACAAATTTTAAACTTTAAATTTTACTTTTGTAAACAAAAGTTAAAAAAATGGCTGACGATCGATTTTCTGTCAATTTTGCTGATCAAAAAAGATACAAGATTTTTAACGAAAATTTTGGACGTGCTAGAAATTATTAAAAAATGTAAAAAAATAATAAAATACTTTGATCTTTCCTCTTGATAATAACATGACCATTTAGACGATAACAATTTTTTTTCATCGTTTAAGGCCGTTATTATCCTGCTATGCTCATTTTCCAGCGATCTCGTGGTGATACCTACATCAACATACCACAACAAATGGTAACCCCGATGTTTGACATAGAGCGAGAAAACAATTAGACACCTACAGTGTCACTGCTGATGGTCGTGTAGTCTGCCTGCTGTGGGTTCCGTTGCTAATGCCAGCCGAGTCGGATCTGCCTTCGTGGGTGAAATCAGTCAGTGGTTCAGAAATGGTTGCTGCGATGACCGCGTGGCCCTTTTTCTGATTGGCCAGAAAAGATGTTTTATGACCCTGGCATTTTGGGGCAGTATTCCGAATGTGGGTGCGCGGCGTCGGACAAAAATTAAGCTCTGTTTTTTATCATATGTGTTGTAGATGTCGAAGTGAGCATTTCCGTTTTTAGGTTAAAGAATTTCGATTCCGATAGGGTACAATATACACTGCCTATGTTCAAAATATTATTCCCTCGCATTTCTATCTAGGGTCAGTGTAAGATCCGTGTATTCTGTTAAAAGTGTTGTTGTCTTGAGATTTATTATTCTTATACCCTTTCGATCTTTTAGAGTGAGTGAAGTTCTATTTTATTTTGTTTCTGCTGAAATATAATGCACACCTAACGTAGGATGGTATTATTAGGTAGATTCTATACTATAGTATTAATATAGGGATGAAAACCCGGTGGTAAGCCTAACTGTGTTTGAACATAATTTTGGAAGACGTTTCAACTATTGTGAATGAGCTTCATTAAACTTCATTTTGTTTGCCGGCGTAATGTTGGACTTTCGGAGCATTAATAACGATCTGTAGTGGCATGGGGCTTCGGGGTTAAAATGAACAGTAGATTTACCCACACCAAGAAGATTAATAAAGGCCGAAAATGACGAGGAGACACACAGGTAAGTTTAACAAAACAAAATAAGGAAGGTAGTATTTTCAGACATGGTCCGATATCTCTAAAGAAACTGCTCAAATTTTCTTGTTAAAAGTCTTGTCCAAATGATTCAATGTTGTTGCCTCGATTGTTTGCCAGGATTTTATAAAAATAGTTCATAACTTCTATCACTCACTAAGTGCATGAGGTGATTAAAACCTTATGAAAAAAAAAAGTTAAAAATTAAAACTGTCGAAAGATGAAATGTTTTTTGTTTCTTTTAAGGTACTATCTGGCATAACTGTTCTCTTATTCCGGAAGCTATAGATTATCAATTTCTGACCAACAGTTCAGACTTGGCAGTAGGTGTTGCATTGCATCAAATGATAGTCAACTTGTCCCTATCGACTTCTTTTCTAAGAAAATAAAGCAAGCCCAACAAGAATATTGAGCGCTCAACAGAGCATTATTAGCTGTATACTTAGCAGTATTACAATCCAAAAAGCAAATAAAAAGCATATGATGTTTTGAACAGACCATAAACCAATAAGCAATGATTTTAAGATGCAAGTTGTATGGAAATCCAACAGGTAACAACGCCATCTCTTTATTATAACGGACTATATCAGCCATGTTTCACATATTAAAAGAAATCAAAATATAGCAATAAAGCCACTAAGATGCAAGAGTTTACCGAGTCTGAGATAATATGTGAGAAAGAAAACATTATTAAGAAGAGAGAACAATAAAAGAACATGAATTAAGAAAACCAAAGATAATGATTGACATGGTATTTAAATTTTTGGAGATCAAAGTTGAAAGGAAAGCAGGAAACCAGAAAGAGAGTTCCACAAACGAGGTGCGAGAGAAGAAACTGTTAGCATAGAACTTACGGTTACACGTAGCTATTTCAACTATAAAATGATGAGATTTTGTCGCCAATGAAGTACTTCGCATAAATTCGTAAATCGAGGTACCATAGATGCACCTAGATTGTTGCAAATCGCTTGTCTCGATCTGTCAATGCAATTACAATTGATAAATATGACTTACATGAATTAGTAAAACATCAAGTCAATGATAATGGAACAAAAGGTTATTAAAATAAATCAAACTTTTCTATGTGAAGTTTCATTTACTTACCCTAGGCCTTTTCTTAAGTAAATGTCCCATAAATCAGTATTTGCAATTTATATATTGTTTATATCATCATGGAATAAAAGCTTAAGTGAAATTAATAAAATTGTGCTATTTTGGTCCGACATAGATTGCGTAATCCGAAAATGGTATAAATAATGTCTATCGTGTCAGGATGCAATCATTTGAATTACCATCTTGGTTCCAAACATATAGACATAGTCTGCCCACTTTCTCAAGAAAAGAACATCAGTGTTTCTTCTTGTCCATATTTACTTACATCTATCGACAGAGGTACTCGCTGGATAAACGTATATCCGGTAAGTAAGATGATAGCTAGTGTTGAAGCTAAGGCCTACATAGAAACCCATTTCACATCGTCACAAACTGAGTACTCATTTTTAAACAGTATTGTTTTCAAAGTTATTGAACATTATTGGCTTTCAGAAATTGAGGACAACATCACTCACAGGTTAATTGGAATATTGACTTGAGGACAATATCACCTACAGGCAAATGGATCGACTAAGTGAGCGCATCGGACCAACAATCCAAGAAGGAATTATGGTTATCAGCATTCCCCGTCATCCTTATTCGTAATTTATCCAAATGAGTCGGATTATTTAATTTAATGCATTGGTACCAGTTATGACATTAAATGCTGTACTAATGTTTTAAACGGTACTAATGCATTAATTCTACAATTATTACTTTCGGTCTCACATTAACTGCTGACCTGAGATGGAACAAATACATTGAGTCAATAGCTTCGTCCACCGCAACGAAAGTTGACTCCCTGTGCCACGCCAGGAAATTTTTCTCGCCGGAGTCGATCCTTCATATTTACAAATCAACCATTCGCCCTTGCATTGAGTATTGCTGCCATATATGGTCTGGAGCCCTTTATGTTTGTCTCAAGGTCCTTGATAAAATCCAGAGACGGATATGCAATGTAATTGGTCCTGATCGGGCATCTCGTCTGCAGTCGCTCTCTCACAGACGTGCCGTCGCCCCCCTCTGTCTTTTTTTTTACAAATACTTTCACGGTAACTGCTCCGAGGAGCTGCTTTCGCTGGTTCCCAAACTTCATGAATTTAAGCGTTCAACTACGCTAGCATCTCGCTCTCACCCTTTCATTGTCGAAACTGTTAAATATAGTCATCTCATCTACTCCAATAGCTTCATATCTTGCACTCTCGCCTGTGGAACTCCCTCCCCTTTTCCTGTTTCCCTGATAGCTATAATCTCCAACTATTTAAATGTAATGTCAATCGACGTCTTCAGATGCCTTGATCTATCCCCTATCCTTCTCTTCATCCTTTCCTCTATCACTCCTCTTTGCCCTCACTCCAACTCTCTGTAATCCCTGGCGTTCTAGTGGCTTCCCGCCTTGCTTGGGGTGAAACGCTTAAAAAAAAGATGAAAAAAAATTCCTAACATTTTAACGGGTCAAGCTTACAAATAAAAAACTTTGCAAATGAACATCTATCTATATTTCTGAGATGAGGTATTGTAACTATTTACGTTATTTATATTATTCGAACTTCAGTTGTCCTCATCTCTGTGGCTGAGTGGATAAACGCGTTGGGTGAAGTGATCCAAAAAGTCACTTGACATAAAGAGTTGTGAGTTCAATACCTGGCCACAGCAGAGGGAACAGAAGCATAAAAGTCACTTAACATAAAGAGTTGTGAGTTCAATACCTGGCCACAGCAGAGGGAACAGAAACATGGAGAGTTGAATTACTATAAAGGGAATTAACTGAAACTGAGATATCAAAAAAAAAAAAAAGCATAACACGTGGAATTAGAACTTTTAGTTCTTGGGAAATTAAATGCTTTGGGACAACATGTAGGCATCCTTCAGAGAGAAATCACGTTTTGAGTTTTATCGTCTCTTGTCCTAATTGCCGAACATTTTCATTGGTAAACTCCATGAAGTCCTTTTCAACCATAGGCTTGGGTAGTAGCACTGAACTCCATGTTACTGTAACTGCTGGTGAGTAACCTTGGTCTGTTGGTAGGTTTCGTAAACTAAATAGCACTATTGGCAAACATCTAACCAGTTTTGTTTTCTTGCCATTATGACAGTTTTAATTGTCCTGTGTTGGCGTTCAATTACTCAATTGGATAGTGGATGATATGCAGTGGTTCTTAGTCTGTGAAATCCTATCAGTTTTGATAATACAATAAAAAGCTCACTTTCAAACTGACTTCTCTATCGGTGGCAACATACAGGGGAACTCCAAATCGAGATATCCTCATATTTACATGACATGACATGGCCACTGTTTTTAGCCGTAGTATCAACCCATTGAGTAGCTCTGTCTATGCAATTTAGGATGTAACTTGCTTTTGATGAGTATATGTTGTTGTGATTGATGGTTGTAATGGCCATACAACATTGATATGAACGGTTTCGAATCGTGTAGAGGGTAGTCAGAAAGGAACCACCTCTGATTTTGTGTGGTGAGTAACCTTACTTTGTTGACAATTGAGGCAATCTTTGGTCCATGAGTATATGTTTTTATGCATGTCAAGGCAAAAGTAGCGGATTTGATTAGTTTTACTGTGGCTGTCTGTCCTGGATGGGGGGACATGTGGAAGGTATCATAAATCGCCCTGCTTATTCTTCTAGAGCAAATGGTCTTGGGTAGGGTGTGGAAATATCACACAAAATAGTTTTGTTGCCAAAAGTGTAAGCCTTCAGCCTGTTTATGTAGGCCTTGACTGATGTGTCATACTCTAGCTGCTTGACGATGGCTGGTAAGTCACAAAATTTGACTGTCACTGCATTTGCTGCTCTGGAGAGGCAGTATGCAACAATTTTTTCTTACCCACGAATATATAAGATATCAGTTACATATTCCAAAATTAATGGCAGGTGTCTCTGTTGTTTTTCTGATTTCATCGGTGTTGTTTTATGGAAAGCTAATGCACCTGTCTTATGGTCAGTGAACAAGGTGACATGTGTACCTTCAATCTGGAATTGAATTGCAACACTGCCAAGTAAACTGCCAGTATTCCCGGTCAAATGTGGACCATTTTCTTTGTTTTTTCAGAGAGTTTCTTAGATAAAACAATCCTATAAGAACAGGTCTGTTGTCAATCATCTGCTGTCATGCTGCACTTACAGTATAGTTGGAACTGTCAGATACCAGACGATAATGAGTTACATCTGAGTCGGGGTAAGGATGTGCAGTGAGTTTTCCCAGGACATTTTTAACGTTCATGAATGCTTCTCTTTCAGCGTCATCAAGCTGTATGATTTTTGCTTTGAGGGTGCTTCTTTGTCAGCTTAGTCAGTGGTAGAAGAATGTCTGCTGCCTGTGGAACAAGTTTCCTATAAAAGTTAACAATTCCCAGGAAACGCTGAAATGATTTCGAAACAGTTGGTTCTGGGAATTCATTTATTTCCTGCTTTTTCTCTTTTGTGGGTATTATGCCTTCTGGACTAATATGATGGCCCCAAAATTCAAGTTTCTTCTTGAATAATTGTCACTTGTCCAGTGAGATTTTTAGATTATTTTCTTGTAAAATCGCTAGAACTTTTTCTAAATGCTTGTAATATTGTTCTTCTATTTCAAGAAAACATAGATGAAAAAACAGTTAACCTGGAGAAATATATTGTTCATAAATCTTTGAAATGTAGCTGTAGAATATCGTAGATTAAAAGGCATATATACATATTCAAGGAGCCTAAACGGCGTTATCACTTTGTATCTTCTCTCATAGGTATTTGGTGGTAGTCTTTTAGAAGGTCAATTTTGTAAAATATATTTTATTACCCAATTTAGAAATACTGTTGATATTCGCACTGGGTATCTGTAGGGTTTTTCAATACATTTAAATCTCCATAGTCTCCACAGGCACGTTACTGTCCAGGCATGGATTTTGAAACTATGTGAAAAAGTGACGACCAAGGAGAGTTTAACTGTCTTATGATTCCCGCTTGGAGTAGCGTTGTAAATTCCTCCTTAGCAGTTTTAAATTTTTTCTTCAGACATTTGTTTCACTTGGAGGAACTATCACCTGTATCTATGCTATGTCAGTCTTTTAACAGCCCAGGAGTAGTTGACTTCATTGGTCTAAGTAGTGTTGGCAGGTCTCGGAATAAGGGATGTACAATTTATGGAAGAATATCAACGTTATTTATTGATATCTGGCGTATGAGTCTCTCAACGTGCTTATTCTATAAGTAGTATTTGGTATTTGGATCCACCAGTCTTCCATCTTTACAGTTCACTAGCAGTACATAGTGTCGCAGAAAGTCAGCTCCCAAAAGTGGGTTGAAATGTTCGGTAATTAAAATCCACACAAAACTCAACTCACACACGTACCTTTACATATAAAAAAAACAAACAAACAAACTTTGTTGTAAAAAATTAATTGCACTGTTGAATATTATAGCGTTAACAAATCAATTAAACTTCATTCAGCTATATTGTCACCTTGTAATATGACTATGAGTTTTGGTAATCTAAAGTAACGTCAGTTTCTAACAGCTTAGAGTCATCTCCCCTTAAGCGATTTTCATCCATGTTTTTAGTACGATCAGTCCAGACGGAGGTTTTTTTTTCTCTTTGTACCGGACAAAAATCAATATCAGTCTAGTTTCTTAGGTCCCATCTCCCAAGCAGTACATTGTTTAAAGACAGTGGAACGCTATAAACCTGAAAGCAGTAGTGGCTGCGATCATTAAAAAAAAAAAAACAAATTACTTAATTTTTTTTAGTCTACCGACCCTCTAGAGAACATGAAAATTTTTTATTTTTAAATCCAAAATTAAATTAAAAATTAAATTCAAGTTTGTCTATATTTCTGAGATGAGGTATTATGTACAGTATTTACATTAGTCGGACTATTGTCCTCATCTTTGTTGCCATATTTGTCACAACGTTTCGGCCGTTGTACGCTCCGGCCTTCTTCAGGTGGTTGGAATTTCGAACTGAACCCTTTATTTCGATCACTGGGGTAGACTGTTCTAATTCCACGTGCCATGTTTGATGGATGTCAGTTATCAGTTATCTCCTTAAGGACACATGGCACAGTGGATAAAGGCGTTGGTTAGATCCAGTGACAGACCCAAAGAAGGTGAGTTCAATTCCTGGTTAAGGCAGTGGAGAACTTTCAGAGGGAAAATTAGCAGGAGATTTTATTTATGAAACTTTATTTTAGAAAGATTAACTGATTTAGTGTTTATTTAATCTGAATGGAAACAATTATTACTTTTAGTTTAAAATATCGCAGAAGCGGAAGAATACTTTTTTTAACTCTAAGGTGTATTTTCTGAAGTATTGAGTTATTTATTGAGAGCCTGATGTA